TCACCAAAACCTGTATCAGGAAAGAACACAAGGGACATTTTGTTGCTTCAGAGCAAGCAATTTCAGCTCTTCTAGTTGGAACTAATTTGATATGTTCACTCAGCTTTCTTTCACTGAGATTAGAAGAAAACTCAGAATCCTCAACCTTAATCAGAGTAGATTAGCACAAAAGGGGAGAGCCATTTGCTCTGCCTTACATACCCGTCTCCCTTCAGATCTGAAATGCCACCCACTGAAATGATTTCTCCAGGATCTCTGTGTTCAGGAAGTACTCAAGTACCTAGATCAGTATTAACAGTACTACTGATAGCAACAGAAAACAGTTACTGAGTCCTTCTAGGGTCCAGGTTCTGTGTTTAGATCTTAACATTAAGCTTGGCATGGCATCCCACATCTGTAATCCCAGCTACTCAGGAGGCTGAGGCAAGAGGATCACAAGTTTGAGGTCAACCTCAGCAACTTAGCGAGAACCTGTCTCAAAATTTAAAAGGGGCTATGCTTGCCAAGCATGTGCAAACCCTTGAGTTCAATCCCCAATACTGCAGGGGGGAAAAAAAGCCTTGACATTAATGTGCATCAAAACCTTATCTACAATATCATCTGTCCCCCCTATTCTCATTCCCTTAGCCATGCTTTGCATTTATTCATAGTACCACAGCCAAAATATTCTTTTATTTTTTGTTACTGAACATCCAAACTTTTTAGTTTACCAAAATTCTGAGTTCTATGAGGACGGAACTCGGAGCTATTAACCGCCTGTACCCAGATTGGTGGCAGACAATGGGCTTTCTAGGAAAATTCATTAAACGAGTGAAGGAATTACATGGTTTCATTATAAGAACATTATGAGGCAAGTTTTTGATAGGTTAAGTAAATTGCACAAAACAACATTGCTAGTAACAGAATCTGGTCTTGACCAGAATTCAGCTGACTCCCAACCTACACTTTGAACCACCAAGTTATTCTGGCTCCCTACATACACAAGTAGTGGGTAGGATGTTCCTAACCATCAAGTAAGTAATGGCAGAAACGAAGAGAGGAAGATTAGTTTAACTCATGTTGGGGAGGGAACATAATTTCTTTTCAATCCTCATAAATTTATACTTGGAACAGACTCCTGTAGTAAAAGACTAACAAAAGAAAAACAATGAAGATCATCAATGCATCAGTACATATCACACAGGAGAGACCTCTAATGAAAGCAAGTAAAAGCAGTGCTTTAAAGTCTGCCCTCCATAGTGTCTTCAACAAAGAAGAGATTTATAGAGAAATGACAGGACATAGGAGAGCAGTTTGGGGCTTCAAAGGCAGGAAACTGGGAGGTAAATATATGGGAAGAAACTAAAGGAGTAAGCTTTGCTTGCAGAGTCCTCTGGTAGTGTCTTTGGACTGATAAGAGTTGTCTCCAATAAAGCAGAATTTATATCTTGTGTTTAGGCAGAAAAGAGGGAAGAGAGTTTATCTTCCTATTGCTGCTGCTTAATTGTCTTTAGTTTCAATATAGTTTCTATATCAAAGAAGCATATATATTTTGGGATATATTTTTGGTTTCCTTTACCTACTTCACATTTCTGCCCAGGGACTAGTCTTGTCACCAACATCTCCTAAAGCACAGGCTTTGAGGTTAATCCAAATTATTTGATACCTCAGTCTTCCTCCCTAGGTGACCTCAAACTCACCTAGCTTCTCACAATCTGTTTCTTCATCTATCTTCTTTGCAAGATCTAATCAAAATGAAGGCAGTGCATTTAGAAGAGTTGCTGGCTCTTGATAAATTCAGAATACATGATAAGAGTGATCCCAAGTAGAGAGATTACTGTAACAGAGGAAATGACCCAGCTCACCTCAGTCTCTTCTGCTCTAGGCTGGCTGGCTGGCTGGGTTCTAGTCAGTACTATGGTTTGGCCATTTAATGAGTAATCAACAACACTGCTCACTTATATTTAATTATCTTTCAGAACTCTTCTCGTTTCTTGTTAGTGCCCCTAGATGTATAGTGATATCCCAAGTGTGAAAGCCTGAAAGAACCTTGCTTGCAATGAACATAAGGATCTGATCACAATTATTCAGTGGAACAGAACTTTGATTTGCATTATAGGACATGTGCACATTCTTTTCATGAGGAAGCATCAGTCCTCTGCTCTTCAAACAGAAAGATTTTAAAAATATTTTCAAATTTCTCTGATAGTACGTTTGGGGCTTGAAATATTTAAGTCATTTCCCCAAGGCTATCACTAAGATAGGGTAGAAGCACATAGATCTTCTGATATTCAGCAAGGTATTTGCTTATTGTCATTTTCTACTATATTGGAAGGTGACCACTGATATACCTGTTGGTTTGAGTTGTGTACTTGCTCTAATTTCCAGTCACAAAGACTCTTTTTAATGTCATGAAGTATTGTATAATGCCATCCCTCACCAAAAGCAGTTATCCATTGACTAAAGAAATACATTATGAAAAACAACTATGTGAATTAACTAAGATTTTGAAATGAATTGGAAATTTATGAATCACATTCACATCTACATATATTTGGAAGATGGTAGTACATTTATGTGAGTAACATTTTAGCTATTCACTGAACAGCCATCCAGGAAGCTGAGAATCTTTTGCATTAACATCTTGGTGCCTCAGAGACCTACATCCTACAGGCTGGGAATTGATGCCTAAAAATATTTAGCCGAGAATTTGGAGAAGAAAACACCACAAACCTAATTTGAACTTTATCTCTGGTCTATAATTCCACTAATAATGTGAATTTAAAAGTAAAATAGTGATAGGTTGATTGCAAAAAGAATTTTGTTTCTGAAACAGAAAACACATGAATTTCTAGTTGCTTTGGAGCCTAGTTTTTAACTACAGTAGACTGATCCAAGTGTTGGCAGGACACTACACATAATTTGAAGTAATGAAGGTATAAACTCAAGGAACAATGTGTATACTGCTTGAATTGTGTTCAAACTGATCAAGGGGACATCTAGGGAGATTTCTTTATTAAAATTATTGAACAGGAAAGTTTTTTCAACTGTAATATAAAAGGCAATTTGCAATTACTGTTCTACTTTTCCTCCACTTTCTATTCTTAGTGTAGAAGCAGTTTGTAGCAAAACTGGCTTTTCCATTTCTTGGATTTCTTATATTTTTACAGAAAAAAAATTTACTTTAGCTTACATTTCAATGCAACCATGTAACAAATTGATCTACATTTAAGAGTCTTCTCCCCTTCTGCCCTCATTACTTCTAATAATAAAAAGGAATTTCAAATTTTAGAAGCAGAAGCAAATTCCATCCCTCTTGTCATGACATGAACAGGCAGGTAAAATTGTTGAGATTTTAAAGATTCTGAAATGAATTGCATATTTATACTAAATTTTGGGAGTGAAGTATTTTTAAAACAAAGCAATATTTTCAAGGTAGAGTCTAATCAAATTTACTTATTTAAACATTTCTCAATGACATAGCTCTGGGCTATCTAAAAATGAATTGTTTGATGTGAGAAATATTCAATTGTTCAAAATAATACCATGGCCATTGAAAATTACATATCTAAGAATCCTAAAATATAGAAGAACTCAATGGATTTAGAGATGAAAATTCTACTGTTTTCTCAGTATATTTTTTTTAATTCTAGACTTAAATACTAATTTAAAAATTAATTTAAGTTTTAAGAATTAAAATAAAAAGGTCTGGGGAAAAGTTTCTCAGATGCATATGAGGCCAAACAATGTGTGAAAGCTCTGCATTAATTTAAATTACTGAGCCTATGTCCATCAATGTTTTAATTAAAATATCACACAGGTGTTGTCATGCATTTATTCCCACACTTAATTATTCAGCAAGCATTTGCAGAATATAGGATTCTGCTGTTTGCTTAGGATTCGATTCTGCACAAAGTAGCAGGGAAGACATGTTTTAGACTCTGCAGCCTGCGTTTGAATCCCGTCTTTGACTTTTACTCACTGTGTGACCTTGGGAAAATATGTGACCTTTCATTCTTTGATTTCCTCTTTAGTGAGATAGTGATAGTAATGGCATTTAACTCATAGAAATATTTGGGTATGGTAATTTAGAACCTTGGCTGCATATTAGAAACACCCAGAGAGCTTTTTAAAGACTGTCAGTGCAATGCAAGAGGCCCTGGGTACAATACCCAGCATTAAAACACACACACAAACAAATGCATTCTTTAGCCACCACAGCTTGGCAGAGCAACAAGGGTGACGTGGGCTTTGACAGCTTAACCAACAGGGTCATATTGAGGACACTTAAATCTCACTTTTCCCAACTCCCTCAAGAACAGCCCAATATAGAATTGCAGGTGGACTTTAGCCAGCAATAACTTTACTTGTAAATATCCTTGAAGAACCATTTTCATTAGATTGAGCCTTATATAATGAAAAAGAACCTAAGACCCAGTTTGCTTTTCATCTTGCCATAAATGACAGCTTGACCAAAGCAGACCTGAGAACTATTTCACTGGATATTCCATCTGAAGATAAATTTAACAAACAAGCATTCAGAGCCAGCTCGCATGTCACCAAGTTTAGAATGCCATGGCAAACGTCACCAGTGCTGACTCAAAACCCATATTTTGGCAACAAGAAACTCTCCCAGGTTCTGACACACAAGCCATTGCACACAACAGGAAGTGTGCTCCGAAGGACGCCACAGTTGCCTGGGTGATGTAAGTGGAATGGGAGGAGATGAGGAACGCAAACTCACCGAGCAACTTCCTGGACCAGCGGCTCAGAAGCAGAAGTGTCCTGTGTAGTCCATGCCAAGGCAGCCCAGGAAGACATGGTTCCATCCTGGCCTCTGAAGGAAGCCTCCATTTCTAGGTTCCCCAGTGCCTTTAGGTCTGGAACCTCCAGGAACTGAACGCCAGAGCTGCCAAGAACTGTCTAATTATCTTCCCCTGATCAAAGTCATTGAAATTTCTTTCTACAGCTGCAGGAACAAATTACCACCCACCTAGTGGCTTAAAACAGCACAAACTTACCTTACACTTCTAGGAGTCAGAAGTCAGGAAATGGTTCTTATGAGGCTAAAAAGAAAAGAAAAAGAAAAAGAAAAAAAAATCAAAGTATTGGCATGGCTGCATTTCTTCTAGAGATTCCAGGGGAGAATCCACTCCTTGCTTACACACTGTTCATGTTCCTTGGCTTGTAGTCTTGTTACACCTTTCACGTCATCAACCACGTCATGATCTACACTTCCATTACCACATCTCCTTCTCTGACTCTCCTGACTTTCTCTCTCCCTTATATGAACCTGGGTAATTGCACTAGGCTCACCTGGATACTCTAGGATAATGTTCCCACTCAACAATCTTTAATTTAATCACTATCTGCAAGTACGTTAACATAGTTGTAGCTTCTGGGGATCAGGATGTGGACATTTTGGGATGCTATTGTTCTGCCTACAACAGTCATTATGGGAGAAAACACTGAAACAGAGAGAGGTCAAGTCAGAGTTAGCCCTCACACTGAAAAGAGGGCAGGATATTGTGACTTGAATCTCCCTTTCCTCTCCTTTGCCATGTGTTGAGTTTACTGTGTTTGTGTAACACATGAAAGTATTGTTAGCCTATAAATACCAGGATACATACAGCTTGGTGATTATGCAAGACAATTCCTTAGGGTTTATAATATTTAGTAGTTCTTTTTATAATCATTGATAAATAGGTTAAATTCATTTTCTTTTTCACTCTTTAGAAACAAAGTCCTGTGGATTACACACCTGTAATCCCCATGCCCACTTCTACAGAACTCTGACTGAAGAGCTCCCTAAAACCTTTTAATCTCTGAACCCAAACTAACTTTCAAAATAATTCTCACCTGAGAGTAGGCATTTCCTTCTGAGTCTGCTACTACTAGGAAAGTCGGCAAGACAGATAGCAGATTCCCAACCCTACCACGACTTGCATCTGCTGTTTTAGATATCCTTAATTTCTAAAGTGCTGACATGTTTTAACTGTTTTGAGCCTTCTTTATAAATGTGTGATTATATGGTGGACTAACTTTTGAACCAGAAAAACATGTTCCCAAAGGAGCCTATTTTTAAATGTCAGGCTTTAAATGATTTTGTTTTGCTTTCTAAATGAATTTTGCTTTACTGAGCCATAGTGGTCAAGGCAGAATAGCTGTTTGAGCTATTCCAAATAGCTATCTGAATAGCTTCATGACTAATGTGCTCTTTCCCATGTCTTCAGGGAAACAGTGAATTTTACTCCCCGTGCAGGGTATGCTATTGTGCACTGAGAAGGCACCAGGTTAAGATGTCTGTTTCTCACAGTGAACAATATTTGCACACCAGAATGTGTCATGTAGGGAACAAAACAGCCCATGAAATCTAGGCAAATACCATCAAGTATGTGAAATACAGAGAAAAATGGAGAAATGTTTTAAAATCCCAGCTAAACTATTGTCTGTTTCCTTTCCTCCCCTGCTGATATATAATTGATCCTTATAAAAGAAGTAGCTGTCTTCCTTGAATCTCAGTTTGTTAATCTCTAATATTTTAAGCACCTGTCAATGCATCAAGACCTGCAACTGTGAGCATGACCCTCCTCCTCCTGGGTCTAGGAAGCTCTTGACATGTATATAAATTCTTTGAGGATCTGAGTTTACCTAAAAAAGTCCAAAACTTGGGCTGTCTTTTCCCAGAGCCACCATTGGCACCTATCCTCAATTGAACAAGCCTTCTTCAGTCTCAGTTTCCAGAGGAAGATCCTCACCTCAGCCCTGAGCTTCCTCTATACTCTGGCTTCCCACACCCAGGCTCCTGGCCAACCCTACTGGAGGCAGCTGGTATTTTTTTGACTTAGCACTTAAGTTGCATTTCCTTATTGAAGTTTAAAGTTTGGTTTTATCTGCTTTTTTCAGAAATAATATCACTCTATACAGGTTGACATATCCCTTCTCTTATTTAGATCAGTGTATTCATTTAAAAATAATAAAAATAGAAACCAATGAGACCAAAAATGTGTTTGTGCTATCCAACATTTGTTCTTAGAAACCCTGGAGCATGGAGCTTGCAGCTACTGGTTCTTTGCTTTCTCTCAGAAACATCTTGGCCCAGAGAAGGGAAGAATGTGTGAGCAGAGCAAAGCCCAGACTGGCCCAGCAAGATGACATGTTATTGTGCACTGGGAAGGCCCAGGTAAAGATGTTTTATGGGTCAATACTATAATGAATGACTGAAGTCTTGATGTGTGGTTGCCTGGGGTGCAATTACCACACTAGACAATGTATGATGTTTAATTTGGTGTTTTTCAATTGCTGATAAGGAGGAAAGTTATTGGCTCCACACACAACTTCCTTGGCTACAGAACCTCCAGGACCTTTGCCAACTCACATCTGGCCAGAGGAGGAGTGCTTGGACAGAGACTGCATTCTTTGACTTTAATAGAGGTCTATATCTAGTATCAGCCATCATCTACAATAGAAATTATAGCCAATTTGTTTTAAGATCTTTCATTTTTAAAATATTCGTAAAGTATATATTTAATTATAATTTTTAAAAAAGACATAGATAACAAGCCTACTTAGCTAAAAATTCCAGAGCAAAAGTAAGTTGCTATCCAACTATTAATGTCTGAAGAAAACCAAAGTGTAAACAGATGTAGCAGATGAGCATCCCCAAAGCTGTGGTAAAATTTAAAGGACAG